CGATTAATCATTGCAGCCCTAAGATGGAGGACAACATCATTATGCAAACAAGGTGGGCGGTCCTTCTTGGGTCAGCTCCTTTAAGAAATCCACGCCAGTCTCTGTACATGAGGCCCCTGGACAGTTCTTCAGTCCATCACAGAGACACATAAAGACAAACAACCCTATAAGGGCAGTTCAGAGTTCCAATGAATCAACATGATGTTTTTAGTCTGTTGGAGGAAACCTGGAACATTTGGTGAAAAGCAGGGGAGAACATGTAATGTAAACTCCACACAGAAAGATTCCAGGGAGAATTCAGTCCATCAACCCTCTTACTGACAGGCGTCAACTGTGCTCCTGTGCTCCCCTTTTCTTTAACAAATCATACATCAGAACTTAGATACTGTGTCGTCTCCCTTACTACTAAAAGACTTGTGATTTTCTTTCAAGTCCTCCCAGAATACAGAGTTCAGTTAACGTCAGTGATATTGAAACTTCTAAATAAAATTGTCTTTACTAGGGCTGTCAAATGATTAATATTTTAAATCTGATTAATCCCAAAGTAGCTGTGAATTAATCATGATTATTCTTAAATTTAATATACATTTCTATTACAAATTGATTAGAAAACAAAATTGATGTTTAGAAATGATTTTTTGAATGTAAAACAGGACATAAAAATGCTCCAAACATATTTGAGTGAGTTACATTTTGTGCAGAATAATGAGGTTAAATCAAGAATTCAAGGATTTTCATTCCAAATGAGTTCTACATGAGGAATGAAAGATAGATACTAAGGTCACAGTTGTCAGCAAAACATAAATGAATAAAATAAAATAAGCCGTAAGAAGACAAAAAGGAAAAAAAAACTTTACATAATGTGTTAAAGATGGAGTTGTTTTTTTATTTACTTGTTTATTTAACCTTTATTTATCCAGGTAAACTGTTTGAGAACCACTTCTCATTTACAAACATGACCTGACATGATGCACTGAGTGCATGTTCAGCCACAGTAAAGTGATTGTAAATTTTAATAGCGATTAAAATTTTTAATCTATGCCCATGCAGCACTAAAATTAATCAGAGTTAACGCAATTAATTTCACAGCCCTAGTCTTTATTTGTTCTAGCTCCTACAGAAAAAGCTACAAACAAAATAAATACCTGACTGAGAATTTTCTGCTGAGCGTACGCAGTAGCTGTTTGTCCGAGGCTTACTTTTCAATCTGAGTTTCTGTCTGCCTCTCATGAAGTCATAAAATGTAATTAGCCCTTGGCAACAGCTTTAACATTTATACTGAGCATCAAAACATAGGCAATTTTCTGACTTTGTACAAAGTAATGTTAGAGTAATAATGTTTACATAATGCGGCTGAGAGTATTACAAAATGTGTTGAATACTTTTATTACATTTTGCATCAAGTATTACATAATGAGGTTTTAGTGCAGTTTTTATTACATTTTGAAGCCCAATTTTGTTAGATTACTTATTGTGGCGTTGTTGCATAGGGCTCACTTTACTTGCCTTTCTGCCTCCATGTTTTTTCTGATTGATCCGAGGAGGACTGAACACGCGTCAGTCCCAGACTGAGCTGTCGTATGAATGAAGATAGTATTTCATAAACTTATCTGGTTGTATAATATATGTACAAAAACATAAGAAAGCTTGTTTATAAATGCACAGTTACTGAGGTAGAAAATAAATTGATAAAAAATGTGGAACTGAAATCTAGAGTAAGAACTGGGTTTAAATCCAGCCCGGGTCCAGTGTTCAGTTTCATTTCATGTCTTAAATAGACCTTCAGTAACAGCAACAAAAATTCTACATTTTTATGGTTTCTTTGGATGTTTATCTGAAAAAGGGGTATCTGGCAGTGGCATCACTAGGCCTATTTTAGGGGGCTGGAACCCCACTAAAATATTTTAAAGCCCCCCTAAATTATTTTGGTGTAAAAAATGTATATATA